TGGTAGGGTGGAGGCACTGGAGGATATGGTTTAGAGTTTAGGGGTTACAGCAGCGACAGGTTAATGGTTGGACTCAATGACCTTAGGTGTCTCTTCCAGCCATGATGATTCCTGATCTCTGATCACTCCTCTGGAGCCCAGAAGGTGTGTTCCACAGGGTGGCACTGCTCGGCCAGTGATGGCTGTCAGGGCTGGCACGGGGGTCGCACCAGGCCCCTGTCCTGAGGGGTGAAGGATAGGCAGCAGGAGGTTGCAGATGCCCTGGGAAATGCTGTGCTGAGCATCCAGGCACTGTTCCGGGGGAGCAGCTCTCCATGTCAGATAAAGTGGGCACGGGGATGATACACAGGATTATTTAAGGTAACCTAAGCCATGCTATGATCCTGTGGGCCTCATGAACCCTCTCTTTGGTAATGTGGCACCTTGAGCTGCGCAGACACCAGGGTCATGTTTCCAGTTCTACCCAGCGTAGGATGTCCACGTGGACAGAAGAGGGTCCCAGGAAGCCCTGGCAGTGTTGCAGAGGGACAGAACCTGAGCAGCTGAGGGGCTACCAGACACTCCTGATGCAGTATTTAATAGCTTCTCCTGCAAAACCTACCAGTGACTGCCAATCCTGAGTCATCTTCCACCACTGCCTCCACCCATCACGCATGGCATGGTTTGGCTCTGCAGGAGGAGCTGTCCTGCAGGCAGTGAGCACATTCTGCTAGCTGGGTGTAGCATACAGGTCTCCAGCTGGTACATTCCCAAGTGTCCTCTGTCACCTCCTTCCCTTCCTCTGCCTAGGACAGCTGGGGTGAGTTATCTGCAGGCCACACTGTGCTCTAGCTATGCCTGTTGGTACCTCTTCTCCTGTGCAAGCTGATCTCTGCTGGTCTGTTGTCCCTCCATCAGCCTCCAACAGGGTCATTTCTCCTGGCAGATCCCAGCATGTGCCACTTCCCTGGCTGCAGAGCACACACCACCCTTACCACACGAGCAGCTCAGATCCTTGCATGATGCAGGGCTAAGAGCCCCAAGTAATGGCTGCATAATGCACCATTAGCAGGAGAAGGTGGCAGCATTATGGCATGGAGATGGGAGACGTGGGAATTGCCTGGGGCCCAGGAGTGCTTGCTGGCCACACACGTCAGCAGGTTCCATTAGGAACCAGCCTCAGGGAGTCTCAGCTCCATCAGCTGAGATCTGGCCATGAATAATTGAGGAGGCTCCTCCGAGCTCCCTGCCCTGCACCCAGCCTGGCTGGAGTGGGGCTGGCCAGGCTGGGCCCACACACACAGGAGGTGACACTGGCTCAACTGACTGTCCCCATGCCTGGGCCTCTCCAGCATGATTTCGTCTTGGAAGGAAAAGGAATGAATTGATGTCCCGTCCCACTGCCACACTGATCGCTGAAAAAAGCTTACATGCCCAGGAGGGTCCTCTCCACATTGCCAGAGAAGGGTTAATGATGGTGATGTTTGGCACTGATGTTCTGACTGTCTTATCACACTCTCCAGCTGCCTTGAGTAAGAGCTATTCTTCCAGAGAGTTACTGCAACCAGAGGTTCTGCTTCACCCACCACCTCCTGCCAGGAGGCAACACCTTTTGGAAGGAAGGTAGCAACTTTCATGGAACAATCCCAGAGAGCTGACACCAAACTGGTCCTCCCAGAGCAGGACAGAACTCTGCAAACACCCTGGCACAGGCTCTGCGTTGTACCCCTGGAACTGAGCCTTGCACCTCTCAATGTGCTTGATGGCATTCCTTAGGATGACAACTCCCTGACAGATGTGCTGAGGAACTGGGAGGTGGTTCCTGCTCTACCCAGGACAGGATGAGGACCCAAATATGCTTAGGTTTCAAACCTAAGTAATTTCAATGCTTTGAGGCTGTGGGTCCTGCCCAGCACAGCTGTGGGGCTGAACAGGGTCCCTTCCTGCCCAGATTGTGCAGACAGGATGGTTAGGTGGCTGCAGGGGACACCAATTGCCTCCTGGTGGCCCAGGAACCAGAGGCAGAGAAGAGCTGCTGGTTTCCTCCCTACACAGTAGTTCCCCACAGCCCTTGCTGTTCATGCAGGGTGATAAACTCAAGGACATCAAAAGCCTCATGTCACCCAGAGAGCCACACATGGCTTGTGCTGGGTGTGGGCCGCAGGGAAGATGGTTGTCCCCAGCTCAGCCCTCCCCCTGGAGACCCTAGGGTGTTTTCTCTGCTGATGGAGCTGGACTGAATGCAAGAGCACATGCACACTGGGCCCAAACCACATCTCCAGCACCCCAGGACAGTTTGGGGAGGTCCTTCTGATGTGATGGGGCAATGTCTCCTACAGCAGACCATTGTATCCCCATACTGAGCCCATTTAGTAGAGCATGTCTGGGCTAACAGAGAAGTCCCTGAGTGCCACCAGTGTCCTGTCAGATGAACTGAGAGAAGCACCAAAATTCATCTCAGATGAAAATTCTCCAGGACAGGAAATCATAAAGAAATACATTTTGGTGAAGTTTTAAACAACTGAGAAGAACTGTCTGTAAAGGCAAGTGCTGAACAACCTGTTTGATAGGTGTTAGATATGCTTCCATCCTACACAAGTGTCTTCATGGCCAGCTGAAGGCTGCAGCAGGAACCTAGGAGAATGGAGATGTGGGAGGCCAAGAGGTACTTTCCTGCCCTTTGCAACTCGACTCAGCTCCTGCAGCTCTTTGAACCAAGGTCTGCTGAGTATTCCATTCAGTGCCAGTCAGAGAGTGCCTGGGACCTTGGTGAGATTAGGAGCAGCATACCCAAGACCTCTATCCAGCAGCTGGAGTTTGCTTAGGAAATCCTCTCTCCTGGCTCATTTTGTGTCTCCTGTTGAGCACATCACTGTGCAGAGCAGGTCCCCAGCCTGGGGACTCCTCTGCACCTCAGGCAGGTGTGAGCCCTGGTGATCCAGTTCTCCATATCCATCTCCACATGGTTCCCTGTTGAACCACCTCCACATTTCCACACCAGGTTCGCAGAGGTTTGCAGAGCTGGGCCAGGCTGTCAGCAGGACCCTGTGGTTCTGTGGCCCCTGGTCAGGACAGTGGGCAGTGGCTCTGCTGTCACCAGGCTGCTTGTGTTGTGCCCTCTGAGACAGCAGTAGTGGGCAGGAGGTGAGTGCAAAGTGCTTGGACAGGATGTGAAAGGGGTATCAGTGCTTCTGGGCTGTCTTGAGTGCTCGTGCCCAGTGTGATGACATTGTGACCAGCAGGGCAGGGTAGCACAGCTCCTGCTCTATTTTGAATGGTGGTTTTGCAGGAGTGGCACAACAGTGTCCTCGGATGGTGCTGCTCCTCTTCATCTGCTCACTGTTTACCCTTGCACTGCTCCTTTTCTGTTTCCCTGTAAACAGACAGTGCAAGAGATGTGAATTGCCTGGAGAAGAGCAGGTTATGTGGAGACCTCAGAGCACCTGCCAGGAGCTGAAGGGGCTCCAGGGAAGCTGCAGAGGACTCTGGGTTAGGAACTGCAGGGACAGGACAAGGAGCAATGGGGAGAAACGGAAAGAAGGAAAATGAGATCTTAGGCAGAGGTTTTCCCTGTGAGGGTGGTGAGACACTGTCCCAGGTTGCCCAGGGAGGCTGTGGCTACCCCAACCCTGGCAGTGTTCAATCCAGGCTGGATGAGCCTTGAGCAACCTGCTCTGGCGGGAGGTGTCCCTGCCCAGGGCAGGGGTTGGGGCTGGATGATATCTAAGCTCCTTTCCAACCACTTAACCATCTATGAATACTTAAAAGACACTGATAAGAGATAAGAAATAAAGATCTCTTCAATAAAGACCTCTAAAATCAAACCACTGGAACTCAGGGAACTATTTCCCACCAGTCAGATGCCATACAGAAACATCCGCAGACTTCAGGGTGCAAAGGGGATGTCCAGGATGTCCATGGTGTCCAGGGTGTCCAGGATGTTCGTATGTGCAGCCATGTCAGCTTCAGAGCTGGACATTGTGGCTGCCCAGTGATCTTTAGGATCAGCCCAGATCAGGGCAAAACATTTGGTCACAAAAGGAGGATTTTTCCTCTCTGGAAGATCTGCACACAAGAGCAAACACTTGATATCACTGGGGATGATATTCCCCTGGTGGCCCTCAAATGAGGGTTGCTATATCTGCAAAGAGGACTGAAAGAGGACTCCTGGTGTGTACTTCCACAGCATGTTAGGGCTGAAGTATCAGGGCAGGGAGAACTGGCTTGGGGCTGTCCAGGTACGTGAGGTGACTTGGGAAGCACAGACGGGTGAGGGAGCAGAGGAGAGCTGCTGGTTCCCAGTGCCCTGCACACATAGGCTCTGTGCCACATCCACTGGGCCATGCCATGCCACCCCCAACAGCCTGGAGCAAACAGACCCAGGACAAAACCACAAAACCCAGTGGTGAAAGATAAGCTCCTGAGTCAATAGCACACTGGGCTTGGGCCAACTCTGCTGCTGCTGCACAGCACCGAGGGACAGGGACCCACAGGTGCTCCACTCATGCTTGTCCTGCCCCTGGGTCTGCTCCAGCCAGTGGGACTGGGGACAACAGATGAAGGAAGGACCTATGTCTGCATCAAAGGACCTAAGGCTGCAGCCAAAGCAGTGTGGGCAGCAGGGCAGGGAGGGGATTCTGCCCCTCTGCTCTGCTCTGCTGACACCCACCTGGAGTCCTGCACACAGTTCTGGTGGCCCCAACAGCAGAAGGACATGGAGCTGTTGCAGCAAGGCCAGAGGAGGCCACAAAAGCTGCTGAGAGCACTGAGCACCTTCCCTGCGAGGACAGGCTGAGAGAGCTGGGGCTGTTCAGCCTGGAGAAGAGAAGGTTGTGTGGAGACCTCAGAGCACCTGCCAGGAGCTGAAGGGGCTCCAGGGAAGCTGCAGAGGACTCTGGGTTAGGAACTGCAGGGACAGGACAAGGAGCAATGGGGAGAAA